AAAATTTAATTGCCAATGCCAAACACTACTTAATTCTCTTACTACTCAATCATTTAAATGTGATTAGTCCTCTCTAAATAAGTATATAAAAAAATTCCAGCTAATTATTAACTCCGCGCAGCAATATTTTCCTCTTGTCGGTTTAAATAAACAAATATTAAAATGATAATCCAACATAACTGTAGAAAGTTACGTTCGTCGTTTTAATATTATTAGCGACATTTATTCCTCCCGCGCCAGAAATTCGCGTGAGGTTGTTTGCCGCCGCGTCGGTGATATTACGGAGCTCCTTTACGCTTGTTCTTCTCGTGAAAAGTTATTGACACCAGCAAAATACTAGCTGTATTGGACAACTAGGACAACCGTGTTTCAGATTTTTTTTTCCCCATTTTGGAAAATATTAGTCTTTTATATTAATGAGAAAAATATATTTCAAAAACATATTTATATGATTATTTCATTTTTTTCCAAGAATAATTAAAAAATTAATCCTCATTATTTATCTAATAATTAAATTTAAATAAAAATAATTATTTAATAATAAAATATCTCATAAGTCTAATTGAATCAAATTTTGAGCTTAAAAATTATTGATAATATTATCTAAGATTCGAGCCAAAACAAATTAATTTCGTAAATCTAATAAGTTGTCCTATTTGTGTAAAAACCTAGATGCAACAAGAATGTAAACTCATAAAATTTTTAGGTTTTTAATTTTTTAATTTTGTTTTTTAACCTAAAAGTATTACTATACTTGAAGATGATAATAATTTGGATCGTATCATATTCGATTTAATTTTTTCAGATATTATATAATATTATAAAATTATAAAATTCGATCCTAATCCGAATTTAATCTTTATTCTATTTAATTTAAATCAAATTAAATTTTATCAGTTTAATTTAGGTTGATTTATTGATTTTTATTTTTATATTTTATTTTAATATAACATTTTAATATATTTAAGTAGATTTTGATATAACATTATTATTTTTATTTTATAAAAATTTAAAATATATATAAAAATTAAAAAATATATATCATTCAATTCGATTCATTTTTTTTTTCACTTCTCAATTTGAAATCCTAACAAGACTTAATATGCATATTTAATATTCAAATTTGATCGAAACTAAATAAAAAAAATTAATACAAATTAAACACTATAGTTTTGAATTGATTTTTTCTCACCCCTAATTATACTTTGACTCGTTTTATTTTTTGTTCCCTTCATTTATTGCTTACTATAATTATCTCTATTATTTTCTTTTATTGGCTTCAAGATGAAGTGCTGCCAATAACTTATATTTCACTTGGCACTTTCAAAGTTTTGGATAGAATATGAAGGGTTAGAAAGCAAGGATTTAATAATGTTGTATTGCTCAACCAATTGTTTTAAAGTTAGAATTAAAGAAAATGTATTAATTTTATTAATTATAAAAAATGTTTTTCTTCTATATATTTTTCAACAAACTATACAAAGACTTCTAGTAATCTTGTTCAAAGTGTGAACAAATTGTTGAGTAAGTGTAAATTTTTTTTCTTTCATATTCATTTTTTATTTTAAATACCTTTTGCATTTAACAAGTTAATTGGTAGATTTAAAAACTTTTTTTTTTGCACATTTTTAGAGGAAAAGATGAATCTACAAAAATTCAAATAGACCAAAATTTCCCCATTGGTGTTGTTGTAATCAAAAGTTTTATAATTGAGTCTAGGGCCCCGTTATGCTTGTGAAACAAGCATAAAAACAATTATTTTGATTTTTAAGGCTTTGAGAAAATATTAATTAGAACATACGCTAGTTTTTATGACCATGGCTGCTAATTTTTCTCTTTAAAATTAGGGTTGAGAAAAAAAAAAGAAAAATTTGAAAATCAATTTAAAATTACGATGTTTGATTTAGTTTAAATTATTTTTTAAATTTGATTTGAATCAAGTTTGGATATTAAATTTACATATTAAGTTTGGATGTGATTCAAATTGAAATTTGAAAAAATAAAAAAAATTTGAATTGAATTATATATTTTTTAAATTTGTATACAACAAAAATAATTATTTTATATAAAAATTTATTTAAATATATTAAAAATTATATTAAAATAATATATACAAATAAAAATTTAAAAATGATAATCTGAACTGAATCAAATTTATAGAATTCAATTTGAATAAAAACAATTTAAAAAATATTTCAATTTGAATTTAGATTAAATTTTAAAAATTCTTAATACTATGAATTATTTGAAAAAACTAAACTAAACTCTATTCAATCCAATTCGTTATCATCTATACTTAAAATAAGTTGATTTATTCACACAATTGTATCTTTAATTATTGAAATATAAATAAACAAAAACATGATAGTGTGATAGAGTGCTAGACTTTTTAATTTTAACAATAATAATTCAAATAAATGATTTATAAATGCAACTGTTTTTTGGTAATATGTCAAAATCATGGCAACATATTGCATTTAATTGCGAAATTGGACTCTTACTATTGAGTTATCGTGTCAATAATTTTCAGTCAATAAATAATATATTGATTTGTATTTCTTTTTTAACAGAAAATATTATAAATGTTTATAGATTGAATTGATTTGAGATTTGAGTTAATTTGATTAATATTTTTAAATGTTTATTTAAAAATTTCAATTCATTCATTTAAATTTATTTTTATATTAATGTTTTAAATATATTAAATTAAAAAATATTTAATATAAGATACTATTAAAAACAAAGGTAGGCTAAAAAAATTTTATTCATAATTCAATCGAAATTAAATTAAGATTAAGAGTCTAATGAATCACTCGATCCGTAAATAAATTTATAAAAAAAATTTATTTTTTTATATTTATGCTTTCTTATTAATTAATGTAAATTCATTTCAATAGATAATATTTAGAAAAATAATCGTAGAAACAAAATTTTCAATAATTAAAAAAAAAAGGTCATAATCACTTATAAGTCATGAGATGTGGCTGAGATTCTGGCTGGCTCTTAGTTGCCATAATTGGGGCATGCATGTGCACAAGAATTGGCGGAAACTAAGCAATGTGTGAATCATATTTTGCAATTTGCAAGTGTAACTATCGTCATATAAATAAAAATAGACAATCTATTTGTCGAGTTGCATAGTACAAATATAATTAATTCATCTCATTCCTTCACAAATTTTTATATGAATTTTTTTAAAATTTTAATATAAAAATTTTAAACCATTCACAAATCAAATGAATTAAAACATTCTTCGAATTTAAATATTAAATTCAATAATAAATATATATTTTTATTTCAAAAACAAATTTAAACTTCTTTCTTTTTAAAATCAAAATAAAATTACATATTTTAAAATTACGATATACTTATATTTTATTCACAAATTTAATATTATATTTTCATTAATCATACAAATGAAAAATAAAGCGAAACTGCTTTCGTAACAGGTGTGAACTGATGACAGCAACTAGCAAGGATCATGGGAATATGGAATGTGGGGCCCACATATTTTGCACCACACATTGTCTTATCAACTTTCTTACATCCAAGAATACTACAACATATACTTATTATACTATTTATTTATTTTTAAAATAGACAAGAAATAGGAAATCTTGTTGTTATTATAAAATGCTGAAAATTTTGTTAACACTTAAAATTTATCTTATATGTAAAATATATAAAATTAACCTAATTTTACTCTAAAAATAAAACAATTTAATATAATCTTTAATTCTTTTTTGTTTTATTAAATAAATCCATATAATTGCAAATCTTTAAGTTTAACAGAGTAACATAAGTTTGTTGCTTTTAGTGTTAATGTAAAATTAAAACTTTGAAGATAAAACAATTTGATAAACTTTAACTCTTTTTTTTTTATTTATCTAATAAATCCATTTAATTGAAAATCTTTAAATAGAACTAGATTAACATAAATTTATTGCTTTTAGTATTAATGTAAAATTAGAATTCTTGAAGATAAAACAACTTAATGTAAACTTTAATTTTTTTATTTATCAAATAAATCCATTAATGAAAGTTTTTATATAAAAATTTGATAAATTTCATTAATATTTACAATAAAAATTTAAATATAATAATTTATAAATATAATCTTCTATTCAATTAATAGTTTTATCAATAATCATATTTTTTTATGTAAATTATAAATTATAGATATTTTTTTTGTACGATAAATTTGAGATAAATAAGTTGTTTAGTTATTTAAATCCAAACAAGATATATTATACTCAATAACTTAAAATAAGTGATTATAAATCGTATATTTGAGATGATCATATTAAAATATATCGTACTCGATAACTTAAGATAAGTAACTGCAGATCGTATATTCGAAATGACTTCAACAAGTGATCACTAACAAGATTCAAACCCAAAATTTTTTTATCGAATATGATGAATTTCAACTAATTAAATTAACTATTAATTAAATTATAAATTTATAAATGATATTGAAATTTGATCATATGGATGCTGAATTGAATTCATAATACGTGGAACGACTTTCAAGAGCAATTTTATTTTGTTTATTTAAAAAAAAATCTTAAGATTTTTAAAATTTTAATCTTTACTAATTAAATGCTGTCATAAAATACATAGATAGTTTATTTATAAAATAGGAAGATAGAAAATAAAACACATTTTCTAAAGCTAAACAAGACAAATGAAACCGATTAATTTTGTAATTTTCTTAACTTTTATGAAATTTCTTATTTCACAAAGCCAATTAAATAATATGAAAAATTTACGTCTAAATGAAACGATTACTTCTCCGGATCCAATCCACCAGATACGGTTCATCCGGAAACAATCCCCTGCTTCAAACGTCAGGCTACCCCCCTTCCGATATCCCACGTGTACCTCTCTTTGGTCGAGTACAACCAATGGTTACATTCGCGAGTACGCTTTAATGCCGCTCCCTCGTTTAATGTAGCTCTGTCACATCTCTCTCTCTCCCTCTCATTTCCCTCCATTCCCCATATATACACCACAATACCTCTTCCATTTCTACCTCTATCTAAATCGCCTTTTCTTTCCGTCTCACTGCTAAAATTTCCTTCGTCGCCTCCGGCGTTGAAAGATCACAAATAAGCCGGTGTCGTTCAAATGGCAACGAGAATGGATCTAGGCGGGAGGCCAATAAAGCCGATAACGATATGCATGATTGGAGCCGGAGGCTTCATTGGCTCTCACCTTTGCGAGAAACTGATGGCAGAGACGCCGCACAAGGTGCTTGCCTTGGACGTTTATAATGACAAGATTAAGCACCTCCTCGAGCCTGACTCTCTCCCTTGGGCTGACCGTATCCAGTTCCACCGACTTAACATCAAGCATGATTCTAGGCTCGAAGCTCTCATCAAGATGGCAGATCTCGTAAATTCTTGCATTTCTTGCTCTCTCTTTTTTGCTGCCATTGATATTCCTTTCCTTTGCTGAAAAACGTTTGCAGGAGATTACAAATCTTTTGATTTTTCTCTAAAAATTGCTTTAATTTTCTGTTGTTTCTTTAGTGTTTTCTTTGGCTTCAATATGTTAGATCTGGTTCAATTCTGTGTGGTTTTACGCTTTTTGTTAAGCTAATTTACTCTCATTGTTGTTTAAAAGTTAGTTTTTCTGATATCTTTGATTTTTTTTAAAAAAATATTCATAAAGTTTTTGCCGGATTTGAGACGATTGATTTGGTTTTTATTGTGTTCTCTGCAATGCAGACGATAAATCTTGCGGCGATCTGTACTCCGGCGGATTATAACACGCGCCCTCTCGACACCATTTACAGCAATTTTATTGATGCACTTCCTGTGGTAAGCACTTCTGTTATAACGTTTTTTATGCGTCATTTTTTGTATCCATTATAGTTGATTGATATTGATGTGAGTGAGGAGAGATTTGATTGTTTCTGAACTTTTTGAGATCGAAGTTGAAACTGATGTTGTGGTTTTTTGATGTGGATTTGTGGTTTGATAGGTTAAGTACTGTTCAGAGAACAACAAGCGTCTCATTCACTTCTCTACTTGTGAAGTGTATGGCAAAACCATTGGAAGCTTTCTTCCTAAAGATTCTCCACTCCGTCAGGTAACCTTTAGCTTTCTCTTTTTTAACAATTTAGTATCTTTTGAAAGAAAGAATTTTTATCCATGCTTTGCTTTTAACACGGTATAATGTCTGGTTTAGTAAAGATTGTTGGTTTTATTTTTATATTTAAGATTTATGGTTTATTTTTTAGATATATATATATATATATGTATATAAAAGATTTAAGACAAAGGGATTTTTTAAAATTGGTATTGAGTTGAAATGGTAAGAAATATGGGTTTAAATGAATAAATCTAGATAATTTGATGGTGGGTGGTTGATTTGTATATTCTTCTTACTCCAGGTCTTTGAAGTTTTACAATTTTCTGGGATTTGTCCTCCTATGGTCAGCAAACATTGGTCAACCCCCCTCTCCAAAAAAAAAAAGGTTTTTGGGGGAGGATGGGGAGTTTTTATGTGGTTGTAATAACAATTTACCATGGTAGTTGAATGGGTTATCAAGTCTTACTTAGTCTATCCTAGTTATATCTATGAGTGGTTTTTATATTTGTATTTTAAAGGGATGTGATCAAGTTATGCCATTTTTATCAACTGAATTTAGGAGTTAAAGCTTTTTTTATGCCTATAAGACCTGCTGGTTAACCTATTAATTGATGAATAAGATATTAGAACAGCCTCAAGTCGAGAACGATACAATTTCTGTGCTGATTGTTGATATGCTCTTTTTGGTTTTATAGATTTTGTTGTATATCATTTATTTTCTCTTGTTCATTAGTCATGTACCATACAACACTCACTGTAGGAAGCATGCTGAAATTGATTTAATATGCTTCATTTTGTTTTTCTCCTTTAATCTTTTAAGTTTCCTTTTGTGTTGTTATTCCTTTCCCCCGTCTTATTTCTAGGTGACGTTAACGTGTTCATTACTTAACATAGTTTATAATCTTTTACACATTCCGTGATTCATGTAATAGGATCCTGCCTACTATGTTCTCAAGGAAGATGTCTCACCCTGCATTTTTGGTTCAATCGAGAAGCAGAGGTGGTCATATGCATGTGCTAAGCAATTGATTGAGAGGCTCATTTATGGTTAGCATCTTGTCAAATGATCTGGCCCCTATTGAGATGCTTCAAACAGGATGTACTGACCTTTTTGTCTTATCCATTGCAGCGGAGGGGGCAGAGAATGGCCTTGCATTCACTATTGTGAGACCTTTTAACTGGATTGGTCCTAGGATGGATTTCATCCCTGGCATTGATGGTCCAAGTGAGGGAGTTCCAAGAGTTCTAGCGTGCTTTAGTAATGTTAGTTGAATGTTTTTCACAGTTCTGGAGAATGGCCTAGAGTGCCATCCATGTTTTCTCTTTTCAATTTTTTAATAGTCTTAGTTCATGATAATTTTTCCTTTTTGTGGTCAGAATCTCCTACGCCATGAGCCACTTAAGCTTGTGGATGGTGGCCAATCTCAAAGAACTTTTGTTTACATAAAGGATGCTATTGAAGCAGTTCTCTTGATGATTGTGCGTATTAACTCTCCTCTCTTCCTCGCACTACCTCACCCTCTCCCCTCCATCCCCAGATCTGGCCATCCACACAAAGTAATTAAACTAGTGGTGTCCTCTGTGCAGGAAAACCCAGACAGGGCCAATGGTCAAATTTTCAATGTGGGAAACCCAAACAATGAAGTCACTGTTAAGCAACTTGCTGAGATGATGACTGAGGTGAAGAACATGATTGATGATATATAGCTTCTATTATTCGTATCTTTATCTTTGTTTATGTGATGTATTGATCATATGTAATTTATAACTGTATGCCTGTGTACTCTTCAGGTTTATACCAAGGTTAGTGGAGAACCTGCTCTGGAGGTGCCAACAATTGACGTCAGCTCCAAGGAATTTTATGGTGAGGGATATGATGATAGTGACAAGAGAATTCCAGACATGACCATAATAAACAGACAACTTGGTATTCCCTTGCTTCCTTGGTTGTTCTCATTATGATCTTTAGTTTTCACCATGATGAGAATTTGAGCATCTGATTTTGGTTTAATACTGCATTAGGTTGGAACCCTAAGACATCCCTTTGGGACTTGCTTGAATCGACCCTTACCTACCAACACAGGACTTATGCCGAGGCTGTTAAGAAATCCATGGTAAAACCGATTGCATCATAAGGAGACAAGATGTTTAGACCACGCCTAAGAACGGTCTCACTTGTTCACAAATGTTTCAATTCTCTCTTTTAGGTAGTCTTAGTTACATCTTAATTGTTGACTTTCCTTCTACACCAAAATTTTTTTTGTCATCCTTGTGTCAGTAGTTGATAGCTCACTGTAGCTCAGACGGCTGTGTTCTTGGTATGGTATTGTGTGGAGACATTAGATTCGTCTTATTATATATATTCCAGTAGAGCTTTGAGCTACAGATGTTGGATGTATTATACGAAGAAGGGAAAGCTTTTATTGTTTCTTTGGGGTGCTTGCTCGGCATTCCTCCCTTTTGTCTCTCTTGGGTCGCCTTGTACTAATTTGTTTGACCCTCTTGTGCTTATGTTTCACAAATTATTATTTTATTTTTTCATGCAAGTTATAAAGTTCAGCACTACGTAAGAGCTGTTTGTATACATTTTCCCCCTTAAGGCTGGATTATAAGATTAATTGAGCAAGTGATTAAAGTTGAGAACTTAAAGCAATTTTTGTGGTCATTTAATCAGTACCAATTAGTTTAGTACTAAGGTTGCTGGCTGGAACGTAATGACTTCGGTTTAGATTTGTCAATTTAAGCCTAATAATTCATGTATTTATTTTGTGTTTTATATGAAAATTTAATATAATAATTTGAAATGAAAACACAAAAATTCTATATTTGTTATTTTTGTTAATTTTTTATATGATTTTTGTTAAAAATTTTTACCGTTAATTTGTTGTTTTTAAGGTATGACTTTCGCAGGTGATTAAATTGTCAGTTTATACTTTTTTACCTTTCATTGTTCCTGAATTTACTACTGTGGTAGAAGTGCAAGAAATTTTCAATTTCAAATGAATTTTCATGGCATACGCCAATATATACTATCATATTTTTATATTTCAATGATAAACTTCTATTTTAGTAAGTGATTATACTTTAAGTGATTGTACTTATCGATTGAACCTTTGATTGTGAGTTGTGAAAAATGTGGAAAATTAGAAGGAAGAAAGGAGAACAACATTTTGAAATGAAACTTTTCGTTAAAGACAAAAGAGAAAAACAAACGAGCAATGAAAGCAAATCAGCATAAAGTCAATGTTGGACATGGACATAACTAGCCCTTGCCTTCTGCTAGAAAGCAAATTTTATCATGATTTTCTCTTCAAACAAATATTAACCCTTTGATTATGTATGTGAAGCTGAGGATGATGCAGCTTCATATTTACCAAAAATTTATGTAACTTTTGTAAGTTTAGACTTTTTTTACATAAATTTCACCATTCATTACCATTATTAGTCAACAGCCCAAATTTACATCCTCTGAAATTGATTATTGTTTGGCTGTATTATGTTAGCATGAAGAGGCAAGAGCCATATCACCGTTAGATAAATTTTATTAAGAATTTAAAAGTCGATGATTTAGGTTCATTTGGATAGACGATAAAATTAATTTTAATAAGATTAAAAATAATAATAAAAGTTATTATAATTGTTATTAAAAAAAAAGTTATTATAGTTATGATTAAAAAAATATTTTCAATAAAAAATTTATATTGAATGAATTTTAATAAAATAGATGTTTAAATTCAAATGATACTTTAAGCTCAATCGCATTGATCCAAACCTAGGCTTAACGGGTTTTGTTTAATTTTTCCTTTTCACAAAATCTAATAAAAAAAAGGAAGCAGAAAAAGATTGAATAAACCAGAGTGAGTATTTATCCAACAAATTCAAATAGATTATTTTGCTTTCAATTTTCATAAGCGCTTTCACTAGAAATAAGTGAAGATTGGTATACACTTTTTAATTATATTGTCAATTTAGGACTTTGTATAGACCGTCGCTTTGGCCGAGTGGTTAAGGCGTGTGCCTGCTAAGTACATGGGTTTCACCCGCGAGAGTTCGAATCTCTCAGGCGACGTTCACCTTTTTCTCCTTTCGGAAGCCCTCTCTCCTTTCAAAGTTCAAAACAAGCAAAAATTCCAAACTTTTTCTTTGACTTCTTTTGCTTCCAATTTTAACTTTGCTACCGTCTTTTGAACCCTCTGTCTCCGTTCGCCATCGCAAAAATGTCAATTTCCGCGTTGGAGGCAACTATTCAACGACGATCAAGGTAATCGGAACTAGAACTTTCGCTTGTTTCATCACCATCAGTTTAATCGCACCGTTTAACGTTCACAAACCATCTACCCTTCACTGTTAGGCCTGATTCTACGGGGAACGCGGTCAGCAGTTCCAAATACCATATCTTGTCTTTTCAAAATGACGGAGAAATATTTGGCCCGAGACCCGACCCGGAAAAAGCAAAACTAGACTCTTTTTAATGCATCTAATAACACTAATAATAAATAATAAATTTCAAATCGCCATTTTTTTTGGATGGATTGATACGGGTTGAAATTTGAAAATTATAAATTCAAAAAATTTTAGATGCATCATGTATTTTTTAACCAAATGTGTAATAAAATATGTAATAAAATAAAAAATTTAAAGATAAATTAAAAACTTAAAATTTTTTTTTTTTTCTAATCATTTAAAAAAACAAATTAAAAAATTAAATTAAATTCAGTAAAATAAAAGTCGTCTCGTCTCCAGCTCTTCTCCACGGCTTTTTCCAAAATTTGTTCCTCAGTCCACCTTCTTTATCTCTTTCTCCTTACATCAAACCAAATTTATATTTTTTTTCTCCTTTTCTTTTAAATTTCCATCTTGAAATTTCCATCTTTTTTCCACACCCCATTTTCTTCTTTTTTGTGATGCCGGACCGATTTCTCCGTTGCCGTTGAAAGAAAATAGAGAAAGATCTGGAAAATTGAGAGGCAGATCCAAAAGGAAGAAAAGGTGTATCTGATCCGTAAACTGGGATGGCAATGCACGGGATGAGAGGACTTTCGGTTTTCATAAGCGACATCCGAAATTGCCAGAACAAAGAGCAAGAACGCTTACGCGTCGATAAAGAGCTCGGCAACGTCCGTACTCGCTTCAAAAATGAAAAGGTTAGGGTTTCAAAGCAATTTTTATTTTTTTAATTTAAATTCCGTCTTTACAAAATGATTGGACTTACTTTTAGGTGCTTCCAGTAGAATGATTTATATTAAAAAAGCGGTGAACTTGATTCTTTCTTCAATTAGATTTTGTTTGAGAGCAAAATGTGAACTTATTTGAGCTGTTTAGTCTAGTTAGGTTTTATCATTATGGTATTTATTTTCTTTTTTTTTAATCAAAGAAACTAGCTTTTATGCCTATAATAATAACTTTTTGATTAAAAATCTATGCATTTCTGAACGCCATCAGTGTATCAATTTTTTCTATGCCTGTAAACAATTAACAGCAACTTATATGGTTTCATAATAGTAGTGGCGGCTGTTTGAATGAGAAAATTTCTATCTTTATAAGCTTTTACTGCTATGTTTCTTCTGACTAAGCCTATGTGGTAATCCTTTTTGAAATATTATATATACAGTTTGCGGTAGGATTGGATCTCTTAGTGTTAAGAATTCTAACAAATTTGGCGAACCCTACCTTAAGTGAATCTATTTTGTGTTATTGGATAGTATTTTGCTTGAACCTTCCAAACGCATATATATTTTGGTCCTATAGTAGCTTTGCAGTCTGCACCATTGCAATACTCGAATCAAATAAGCCTGTTGCAATTATTAGAAGCATAAATTTGCTTCAGCTTCAAACCTTCTAGAATGTTAGATTGTACTCTCTTCTACGGGAATCGTATATTTATTTACTTAAGGGCTGTTGGGTGAATTTCAGCCAGGTCTCCAGCTCCAAGAAAGTAGCCTTGTTTTTATTTGAAGTTTCTTTTTGTTTTTGTTTTTCTGCTTTCATAGTTGACTTGTTAGGGATGAACTTAGCTCATTCTTTCATGTGAAATTTAAATCCTAGACCCAAAGTTTTCCAAACACTGCCTAGTCCCCCTAGAAACTTTTACATGGATCCTTCTAGTGTCTTGTTAGGTGACATGGTCTTTTTAGTGCCTTACCAAGGCGAGTGAGCAGTTTCTTATTGAAAGTTCATGTTCTTCTGACAGGGATTGACACCATATGAGAAGAAGAAATATGTTTGGAAAATGCTTTATATTTACATGTTGGGTTATGATGTTGATTTTGGTCATATGGAAGCTGTTTCCTTGATATCTGCACCAAAGTATCCTGAAAAGCAGGTACGATCCATTTCATTTTCCCTTTGATATGGCTAGTAGCACATTTACGAGACATTAAATGAAGGGAAAAACCTAGTGGACTTATGCTCTACAAATGACATCCTGTTCAAGAGCCTGAAAAAATAGGCAGTGAGAAAAGTTGTATAACCAAGGCTAAAGTTGTTTTAATCATTTCCCTCTTTACCCCTAAGAAATAAAGAGGGGAAAAGGGCCAACAAAACTTGAATGTGCAAAGACCTAACAAGACAGCATGTTGAGAGGTCTTAGCTATGTTTCACTACTTAGAATCTGCACTACCCTGAAAGCTTTATCCTTTATATTCATATCAGTTAATGTTAAATGTAACAAGTCTCTTACAACAATAAAGCTGGCAAGTGATTGATACTGTCTAAGCAGGATGTATAACCATCATAGCAAGCATCCCAATCTCTGAAAATATTTGAATGGGGCTGTATGATATCAAATAAAGGACTTATTATGGAAGCCTGGATAATATATGGATTGAGTATTCTTGCAGCTTTTTCACATAATTGAGCTTATTGGGTATATCATGGTCAATAAAAGACCTAATTGTCATGCTGCGAATGGTTGATATTGAATTCTGTTTGTTTCCTTTTTCTCTGTGGTTTATTTAACTTTTGTTCTCCTATAATTGGCTGCAGGTTGGATATATTGTGACATCATGTTTGCTCAATGAAAATCATGATTTTCTGAGAGTAGCAATCAATTCTGTACGCAATGATATCATTGGTCGAAATGAAACTTTCCAGTGCCTAGCATTAACCATGGTAAGGCTAAAAAAATTGATTGAGGTCCTAGATATAATCCATGTACATAGAATGGGAGAGAATTGTTTCTGATTTACAACATCGAATAGCTATCCTACAGACTTAATTGAGATGCATATGGAAAGTAGGATTTATGTGACATATGATTGAGAGTTTTCTTTTTTCTCTTTTCTCAAGAGAAGTTTTTCTTCATTTTTCTAAATATTATTTATCACTTTATAATTTATGTTGTAGCTCATCGTTCCTGGATCTGCAGTAGATGGTTTTATTACTATTATTTTGTTGTTAGTCTAATGCTTTGAGGGAACTCATTGTTCTATTGCATTATACCTTGGATGTTGCTTTATAGTTTGTTAAGTTTTTAGTTATTGATGTTCTAGTCGCTCTTTTGTTATCTTTTGTTGTGTTGATTTATGGACATCTAAGGTTTTTCATATTGTTATTCTTATCCTTTGCTTAGGGTATTCCATATTGTTATTGTTGTGACCTCACATGTACTCTTTTCTTGAATTGACTCTGTAGGTTGGGAATATTGGTGGGAGG